GGCCCCGGCGCCCTCCGTCTCTCCGGCGGCTCCGCTCGGAGCGGTCCCGTAGGAATTTGCCTCCCGCCCGGCACCCCAGGCACCCCAGCGCTGGGCTGTGGCCCCACAGGAGGGGGATTAACGGGGTGGTGGGAGGCACGGGGAGGTGGTGGTGTGGGATGGTCTGCCAGTCTTGGGGAGCAGATGGGTCGGGGTCTTCTCAGTTGTGGGGCTCGGAGACCCCTCTCACGTGCAGCACCTGGGGGGGACACCCCTGCAGCTCAGCCTGGGGGCGAGATGCTCCAGAGCCCAGGGTGTGAGACACCCCAAAAGTTTTGGGTGCAGAGATGCTTCAAAGGCCCTGGGTGCAGTGATACCCCAAAAGTTTTGGGTGCGGAGATGCTCCAAAGGTCCTGGGTGCCAAGACACCCCAAAAGTTTCGGGTGCAAGATGCTGCAAGGGCCCTGGGTGCTGAAACACCCCAAAAGTTTTGGGTGCAGAGATGCTTCAAAGGCCGTGGGTGCAGTGACACCCCAAAAGTTTTGGGTGCAGAGAATCTCCAAAGGCCCTGGGTGCCGAGACACCCCAAAAGTTTTGGGTGCGAGATGCTCCAAGGGCCCTCAGTGCAGAAACACCCCAAAAGTTTTGCATGTGGAGGTGCTCCCAAGGCCCTGGGTGCAGAGATACCCAGAAAGTTTTGGGTGCAGAGATGAGCCAGAGACCCTGAAGGCAGAGATACCCCAAAAGTTTTGTGTGTGGATACGCTCCAGAGACCCTGGATGTGAGACACCCCAAACGTTTTGGCTGTGGAGATGCTCCAAAAGGCCCTGGTGTGAGACACCCCAAAGGTTTTGGGTGCGGAGACTCTCCACTGGCCCTAGGAGAGGAGATGCTCCAAGATACTGGGTATGGAGACACTGCAATGGTCCTGTTCATGGAGACCGTCCAAAGGCCCTGGGTGCAGAGACACCCCAAGCTTTGGGTGCAGGGACACCCCAAAGGCCCTGGGTACTTGGACATCTCAAAGGCCTTGGGTGCAGGGACACCTCAAATTGTGGGTGTGAGACACCCCAAAGTCCCTGGAGGCTTGGACATTCCCAAGGTCATGGGTATAGAGATGCCCCAAAGGCCCCGAGTGTGGAGATGCTCCAATGAACCTGGGCACAGAGACACTCAAAGTGTCCCATTAATGGAGGCACCCCAAAGGCCATGGGTGCAGGGACACCCCAAATGCTGTAGGTGCATAGATACCCCAAAGTCCCTGTGGACAAGGACCCTCCAAAGGTCCTGGGTGCTTGGACACCCCAACAGCCCTGGGTGCAGGGATGTCCCACCTGGCCACCACAACAGGGACCAGGTTTCCCTGACCTGCCACTGCTACAGGGGTTGCTGGAGCTGCCAAGCCCCCATGTCCCCCATCTCCTTGTGGGATGAGCCTGTGTCCCCCGGCCACGCGGGGCTGTGTCCCCACTACGCTTCCGGCAGGGACACAAGTGCCTCAAAGCCACTAGGCAACCACAGAAGGAAGCCTTAACCCAACCATCTTCACCACGGATGGAGGCCACCATCTCCCAGTGGTCCCCAGGGAGCAATGGGGAGGAATCCCGGCCAGATCCTGCTTGGTGCTTGAGAACAGAGCCGTGCCTCAGTTTCCCCATCCACCCACCAAGCTGTTATCAGCCTTTTCAGCCAAGCAAGGAGGAAACTGTCTAGAGCCAAATATTACGGCGACGGGTCAAAGCCCCCCCAGGAAATCTGACCCCCCCAAAACACATTAATGTTGGGGTCCTCAGGGACGCCAGCTGAGACCTCCCCTCTTTGTTACAGCCTGAAGTTTATTAACACTCTCACCGCCGGATTAATTTGTTGTAATTATGGGCTGAAGGGCACCCACCAGAGGATGGGCTTTAGGGGTGCAGAGCGCCTGACCCCCCCTGCCCTGCCTCAGTTTCCCCAACCCTCACGCAGCCTGTAGTTCCCCACCTCAATATGATGCTCCCGGCATTTTCCGGAGCTGTCCCAGCTACCGAAGCCGATGGCCAGATCGGTGAGCTGAACAGGCTCAGCACCGCACACCGCACCGGCAGCTGGGGTTTTGCAGCGG